GGGTCTTGTAACCCAAGCATTCATCCCTGCCTGTGGCAGGGGGTCAGGCTAGATGATCTGATCAGGTCTCTCCTGACCCTATCTACTATGATACTATATGCCTACACTGCATTCCTGGTGTCTGGAGAAAAATGCATCATGAAGCCCTCCAAACGTGATCCACACAGCCATCTATGAAATGTCTGTCTCCAGCATGCCAAGGACTGACTGCAGACATATCATTAGGGAACTTTACTGATGAAAACTTAGAGGTCTATGGCATCCAAGTTCTTTTGTGGACTATTTCTGCCATCTTACAACTCAGTGGATTGGCCTTTGGAAAAAGTAACACGACAGCATTCACGTCTCTTGAATAGTGCTATGTGCAGGGAAACATGTAATCTTATTCCCCATTCCTAAACCTCCTTCACCTATAACCAGTCCTCAGTATTGTTTGTTAATAAAGCTATACTTCAGTTCCATTCTATTGCTAGAAACCCAGAACCAGATTCATGACCTTGCTTACTGTTTTGCAAGACTTCAGTGAGGAAAACCTTTGTAAGCCATGTGTAATCAATCACTTAGCCAAATTTATGGCTGCTTTATATCAACAGAGTGAGACAAAGGAGCTGCTGCATCTAGGTCAATCTGGTTTCTAGTATTAAGATGGGCCTCTGCTAATGAGTAGAATAATTATAAAAGAACATGGAGCAACTGGACTCAGAGGATGTCTAGTGGGAATATAAAAACTCTTTGTTAGGCCCCCTCTACACATGCAGATAAAAGCACAATGAGATCTAAACCACAATCCACAATCACACCTCCTGCCATGTCACACATTCATGGCACATGCATGGCAGGAAGTGCAATTGTGGGAACACACATTAGATCCCATTGCACCTCATTGCTGGTGCAGGGGAAGCCTGATCCTGGGCTCCAGTAAGAAGTAAGCTCATGCGCCAGGGAATCCCCCCAGCCACAGGAGCGATCCATGTATTCCCAAGGCTGGGAGATGCAGATGCCATACCCCCCCCCCCCCCCCACAAGGTTGGGAGATCACAGCTGCACTCCCTGAGCTGAGCAAGCAGACACCTGAGTGGACCCACAGTCCAAAGCTGCTCAGCTGTGAGACTCACAGACTGGGAACCCTGTCAGCTGATGGGGCTTCCAGCAGCAGGAGAGACCCCGCTACATATGCAAATTAAAGCTCAGTTGCAACCAGCTTTAAAAGTTAGTACACATTTCTGGGATCTAACTTTATAGCTGGTTGCAGCTTTTTATGGTACGATGGCTTCTTTGAATGTGTAGCTGGTCTCAAAGGTAATTGTGTGCTACCTATAACAATGTAGAGAGGGCCCAATGTTTACATCTCTATTGCAGTCAGAAAAAAGACTTCTTTATGGAAGATCAGCAAACTACATCATGGTATTTGGGGAAGTTAAATGTTATTTAGTAGTGATTAAGTTTTTTTTACAAAGTTATTTTCTATGATTCTTGCTAAAGAAAGGTAACAAGCAGCAAGAGAAATTCTGGTTTAGTCCAATGTAGTGTAAACAAGTCATAACAACAAAATTATTTCAGGTATTTGTCATTGATAGTTGAAGATCATATCTAAGGATTTTTTTGGAAGGTTTTTGAAAAAAATCATACTTCTGAAAATTCCCACTTACTCCATTATATTAAGAATGTCTCTGGCATGATTTGAATTTAAGACTAAATATTCAAACCAGAATCAGAAACCAAAAATCCATTTAACATTGTGCACTAATTAACATCACACAGGCATTATTCCACAATCTTTGTAACTTAGAGTCAAACCCCCTCCACTAAAGGATCACTGATAATTCTGAGGTTGAGATTCCCAGTTTTCAGAGAGAAATAACAGAACGCAAGTAATAAACATAATATTGCCATCTATAATTTAACACATCCTAAAACTACTTATACAACTACCTGTACAAATCTAATTCACAAGACACGACACAGTAATATTTTTAGAACAGTATTATGGGTGTACATTACAAGTTCACTCTACAGCCTGTGCTACTTCCTAGCTCAGTAAATTAAGCTCTATAACTGTTTGCCCAGGTCTCTCAACAGATCAGTGAGTGGGATAATTTGTCTGGAGGATGTTTTGATGTTAAGGTTTTTCAAGACATTACAGGTATTTTCTATCATTGCACTTTTTCCTCAGAAAGAATAAGTTCAGACGTGGTTCAGTAGGGTCAGACGGTGTTCAGCAGTTGAATTTCATTTGGGTAAATGAGCTACTGAAGTAGAAGGCTTATTTAACTAACTAACGGGGATCAGTTTCTACTTGGACCTTAATGGACTACACTGTGGTGCGAGAAGGGTAGAAGCAATACAAGCAGATTGATTAATTTGCACAGCCTACATCATTTGTAGCAGTATGCAATTTCTCTCCCTAATGCTTTTCTTCCCTCTCCCTATTCGCATAGGCTCTTCAGTCAGCCAAAAGATGGTTAATGTACAATTAACCTACAGTACATCTCCATACTGGGATTAAAATTAGACAGAACAAGCTAGATGCTCAAATACCACTCATAGCCAAAGTTGGGTTGTGTATCACTGTAAGGATTTTTTTTTAAATCCAGGGTAAAGCCCTGGCCTACTGATATCAGTGGCTAAAATCCCATTGACTTTAAGGGCTAGGATTTCAGTCACAGCTTTCAATTCAGTATGAGCCATGCTAAAATAAGCAACTGCCATATCAAATTTAAAAATTAGTCTGGATTAAATTACCTTTGCTGAACAACTCACAATTGAGAAACAGAAGAAAAAGCTTTACATGGGAGTTTCTTATCTGTGGAAATATGAATCCGTCATTACCTTTTTTTCTATCAATAACTGCAGTTCATTTTCTCTTCTGAAAACTGGAGATTTTTGCCTATTACATTGAAGAAAGATGCTCATTCTGATGTAGTTAGAAAACAATGGTTTAAGCTGTTATTTTTCAGCTGTTCAAAAATGAAGTCTCTTTTTACTCACACTCCACTGAAAATGTCTCACTGATTTTCATTGATATGCATATCTTTGCCACATCAGCAGATGGCGCTATCTACTTAATTAAATCAATTTATTTAGAACAATTTCACTCAATCTTCTCCTGTACCTTTCTCTTTTTAAGCTCAAATCTTACAAAAGTGTAAGATGACATGAGCAATCAACTAAAGTCTGAACAGAAACCACTAAGAAACAGGAGAAGAAAATCAGTTTAACAAGATAAAAGACACGTAATCCTTGTGAAAGACAGGTTCAAATATAAAAGGTATTTGAAGACATGGAAACATTTAAAAGTACTAGACAGAGTACTTCATAATGTCCTTTATACCAGTGTAGTGCAACTATAGCTACATGCTATTTTCATGTATATAATACATAAAGATACCTAATTAAATATTTATATAAAGTATTATCCTGTGGCAATAAATGGATCAAATACAAGCTTTTCTATTGTGAATAAAGAATTATTGAATTAGGGGAGTTTTCAGTATCCAAAAGAAGAAACTAAGATTTTTATTTTCATTTTAATCCAATGTGGTTTCTTTTCCTTCTAGAAGAAGTTCACATATATGATACTTCTGTCACATGGTCAGTGGAAGATACCTGGTATTATGCAGGCAAACCTAAGATAAAACAGTATTTGGTAGAGGTATGTCATCAGGGATTTTTTACTCAGAAATTTTGGGGAACTATGTCTTCGTATAAGTGAAATAGCTGAGATGGTGCAAGAATAAAAAGTTATATAAAGCTGACAGTCCCTTGCAAGGTGCTTTTGTACATGAAGTTAATGCAGGAATTGTTGAGAGAGAGCCTGTGTTATGCAAAAGATCAGACTATATGATCATGGTGGTCCCTTGTAACTTTAAAATCCCTGAATGTGGGGCCCCTTTACATGTGCAAGTAAAGGCACAATGGGATCTAATGTGCAATCCACACTTCCATGCCTTCTGCCAGGCCACACACGCGTGGCAGGAGGCGTGATTGTGGGATCTAACATTATATCCCATAACACCTCATTGCCAGTGCATGGGGAGCCCTGCATCAGCAAAAAGCAAGCTCCTGCGGCTGGGGGCTCCTCAGTTGAGGGGCTCAGCTGTGGGGGTGCTCCATGTACCCCTACATCTGGGGGACACAGCTACTGTGATCTTCCAGTCTTGGAGTTTCACACACCCCCAGGGCTGGGAGATCATAAGCTCACCCTGAGGCTGCTGGGACCCAGCTGGGTCCTGGCACCAGAAGGCACACTGCCGGGACCCAGAGTTGGCAGCTGCTGAGGCTACGTCCCCTCAGCTCGGGGACTCCCAGCCCCAGCTGGGAATGATGTACCCCTGTGGCTAGGAGCCTTGAAGAGGAGGTCCTGCTACACATGTAATTAAAGTTTGATGGCACTCAGCTATAAAGTTAATACACATTTTGAGGTCTAACTTTATAGCTGGCTTTTATGGTGTGATAGCTACTTTGCATGTGTAGCTGATCTCAAGGTAATTGCACAAATAACCAGTCAATTGTGCGATACTTCTAATATGTAGAGGGGTCCTGGAAGAGAACATAGTCATAATCCAGATTGGGAGTCAAGAAATCCTGGGCTCCGATTCTAGTTTTGTCACCGACTCACTTCGTGGGCCTGAGCAAGTCCCTTCCATTTTCTACCTCACTGTCCCAGTCAATACAATAGAGATACAAGCACATATCAAGTCCTGTGCCAGAGGTTCTGTGAATCTTAATTCAGATAATGTCCCATCAGGGTTTTGAACAGGTGACCAGGCATATACACATTGACTTACTTTATTTTCTCTCTGTACAAAACATTTTTTTTTTAATTTTAAAGAAGTTTCAGCCTTAGCGGGTGATACACGTCTAAACTTTAATGAGTGTTACTTGTGAATATTTTACAGTTAGGGTGGCCAAAATCTGGAACCAACTTCCTAGAGAAGTGGTCCTCGCCTCTACCTTAGGCAAATTCAAAAAGAGGTTGGATGATCACCTGTCTGGGATCTTGTGAACCCAGCATTCATTCCTGCCTGTGGCAGGGGGTCAGGCTAGGTGTTCTGATCAGGTCCCTCCTGACCCTAACTACTATGAAACTATTAAACTTGCATGGTGTACAACAGTACTTCTATTCCAAGTTCCACCTGTCTCATCTTTCTAATGGTCTACCCTATGCATGTGCCATATTCTGACTTGTTGCAGTCTTGTCCTACTTACTAGGGGTGCACTGAGATTTTTGGCGGCCAATACCGATAGCCAATTTTTAAAGGAGACATATCAGCCGATATGGATCTGATTTTGGATACAGCTGCATGCAATTCATAACTCTTGTGGTGAAAGTGGACAGGGAGGGAAGGGGCATAGAGGCCAGATCAATGGCCCCTGCAGTGAGAGAGGGAGTGGAGCTGGGGTAAGCACTGCCCAGCTAGGGTGGGCACAGGACGGAGTCACGGCTCATCTGGGGGGCGCGGGGAGGGTGGGGTGGCTCCCGCTGCTACTCCTGCTGCTGGTTCAGAAGGGCACAGAGGGCAGGGGGAAATGTGCCCTCAGATCTGTGCTGGGCGGGCTGGCCAGGCTGCAGCTCTGCACTTGGGGTGGGCAGTGGTGGCACTGGGAGGGGGGCTCTGTCCTGAACCTGCCCTGCTTCAGCTGGGCAGTGCCTACCCCAGCCCCACTCCCTGCCTTACCATGGGAGAGTGTTGATCTGGCCCCCCATGCCCCTTCCCTCCCCTTTCACGAAAGCAGACTTACCACCTGCATGCAGCTCTCCACACTGCCAGGCTGTGCTGTAGCTGCCTGCATGCTGTGCTGTAGCTGCACATACCCATGGGCATTTATCAGTCAAATTATCAGCCTCATCAGGCTGATTTCTGATATAGTCAATTTTCTTTATATCGGTGCCGATCCAATATCAGACTGATGCATCAGAGCACCTCTACTACTTACCCCCTGTAATTAATTTATTCCTATGCCTTTTGTTTTCAGAGCAGTGTATCTACAGCATGTGTATAATTACAGACAATGTATAGTTAGCTGTTTGTTTTACATCAAAATAAATAATCTGGGGAAAGGAGGGAAGAGGGGTGCAAAATGCCTCCCCTTCCTTATTACACTAAATGTAACCATCCAGCTCTTGTAGTTAAAAGGCCAAGTCTAAACACAGCATAGAAGAAGTGCATTTTTGGTGCAAGTACTGGTATTGGGCACACAATTGCTACTGCACTTAAACTGCTCTGTGATCCAGCTGTCAGCCAGGTCAGCTGACAAGCTGTGGCAGAAGTCTGCCTCTGCTTCTGTGAGTCCCATTTTCCAGGTCAACCTGACCTCAAGGCTATATACATGCAAAAGTAGACAGGTTAGACAGCTTCAGTCAAGTCTTTCAAACGAACAGTGAATGGATTTAGAAACATGAGGTGTCTACCATGATTCTATACAATGTTTAAGTCAATTTCTCCCATTATCAAGTCCCTTCCCTAGGACAGCAGTGTCTTTTTAGCACATTGCCTTATGCATGACTGTACCTTTTAACATTTCCATGAAAAAATGGATTTGGTACAGATGGCCAAAACTGGCCTTGTCGGTGTCCTTCTTGCAGCCTATGGGGGATGGGGAGAACTTTGTCTCAGAAGCAGGAAGAAAACTGGTCATGTTTCCTATGGCTCCCCTTGTCCTCAGGCTTTGCTGGGTGCTCTCCTATCCAGGCAGTATTAGCAGATGGTTTCATAGTTGGTAGGGTCAGAAGGGACCTGAGCAGATCATCAAGTCCAACCCCCTGCCGTGGCAGGAAAGAGTACTGGGGTCAAATTACCCCCGCCAGGTGTTCATCCAGCCTCCTTTTAAAGACCCCCAGGGTAGGAGCCGGCACCACTTCTCTTGGAAGTTGGTTCCAGATCCTAGCCGCCCTGACAGTGAAGTAGCGCCTCCTGATATCTAGCCTGAATCTACCCTCTGCCAGCTTGTGACCGTTATTTCTTGTCACTCCTGGTAGTGCTTGGGGGAACAGGGACTCTCCCAATGCCTGCTGGTCCCCCCTGACTAGTTTGTAAACAGCCACCAGGTCCCCCCTCAGCCTTCTCTTGCAGACGCTGAACAGGTTCAGGTCCCTTAGCCTCTCCTTGTAGGGCCTGCCCTGCTGACCCCTATTCATGTGGGTGGCCCTCCTCTGAACCCTCTCCATGTTGTCCACGTCCCTCCTGAAGTGCGGTGCCCAGAACTGGACTCAGTACTCCAACTGCAGCCTGACCAGTGTTGCATTGTACTGAATGGTACTAGCAGAAGCTAGTCCCAAACTGGGGTATAATGCAGAAGGGACATCCCCTTTATGGGAGCTGGGAGTAGGGACAATATTTGTGCTTTGCTCTTACTGATCATGATGTCTCTCGCTGCTGGTCATCAGGGATTCATGTTTTCTATTTCCCACAGGAAAAAATGTGGATTTTCTCCTTTAAGGCTAATTACAGATAGTCAAAAAGCCCAAGGCTGAATCAAATCAGCCTTTTCAGGTTAGTCTAAGCTGCAAAGATTAAACTGAGAAACAACTGGTGCACATTTACTTCTTATTCAGGAAATACAACAACATGTCTGAAGTGGCTCCAGTCAGAAACTAGGGAGAGCTAGAGCATGACTGTAGCCAGCATAGATGGCGGGTTTGCTTCCTCTTTCTGCTGCCCCCTAGGTCTCTGGGATTTGCAGTCCAGAATCACATCAGCAGGATTCTCCAGGGTTGCCAATCACTTCTTCTTCTTGTTTCCAGGTACCTCTGGGATTTGTTGTCCAGTCACAGCCAGCAGTAAGTTTCAGTGAGCTTATCAGCAGGGCAGTTCTATACCCTCCCCCCCGGGCTCAGGCCCAGCCCTGGTTTGCCTGAGGAGGAGGGCAGTCCCTGACCCTTACCCCTTCCCCTGCCCCCCAAAAACCCTTCTCTGGTAGAGCAGGAAGTATAGTCCAGCACAGGGCTGGAAAGCGTGCTGGGATGCTGTGGGACTGATTTAACTTGAACCAAGAAGGGGTCTGGGACAGAAGTTTCATAAACCAGTTTGACCCATAGCTAAGTATGATACTACATTCAATTAGGTTTATCTTATACCAGTTTCAGCTATTTTTAAATTGGTTTATGTGAAGTGAGCTTCCGTTCTGTTACTAATTTAAACCAGATTATGATCACTTAAACCGGTTTATGTGCAACTTCTGTCCCTAGCCTAAAAAGCTGCTCAGTGCCACAGAGTGGGGGGAGAGATAGCTGCAGCCGGACCTGCGTCCTGGTGATGAAAGGCGGGGAAGGGAAGATCTGATTTTCCATAACAAAAAACCCCCAAATCAAAAACCCAAATAGATAGGTATTTAGAATTTATTTTATTATAAGGATGGAGCCACTGGTAGGCTTCCAAGTTACTTCAAAACTGTAAATATATAAAGTACTGTGTTCAACTGATACCTCATATATATCCCCTCAGCAGGTCAGATAGCTGGTAGGAGAAGCAGAGAGGTTCAAGGTTCAAGTGATTGCAACTTGGCAGGTATCGGGAGTAATTCCCTGCAGGAGGGCAGTGAGTAATTCCACAGGTGAGTCTGGTTTTCTAATAAGTTAGTTCTGGTAATGGGCTTAAAAGAAGGCTCCCACAGAAACTAAGAAAAGTGAGTTGACATTTCTCTCTGAGAAGAATAATCAGAAAACAAGTACAAAGTGAGACTTGTCCTCCACCCTGCCCAGCAAACCATAATGGAAGGAACACCTCTCATATTTTGAAAACATTTAACACCAAAACATCCTCCAACTAAATGATCCCATTCATGTATCTGCTGAGAAACCTGAGAGAGTACAGTGGAGAGAGAACCCTCTTTCATCTGTATCCCACAATCTTTATAGGAGAAAATGATATCTAATTCATTCTCATAAGAGGAGATGGGGAACCAGCACTGGGCTGCAACAAATGGGAAGAAGGAAAAAAACAGCAACTCTTCACATAAGTAGGAATAATCAAAGGAAAAATCATGGTCTACACTGTACAATTCATTATTGCATCATGATCCCAGATGAGTTAATAAAAGTTGTGGCCTAATTAATTCATATACCTTGCATCTTGTTCTTTTCTTTGCATGGCTCTGGTAAGTCCCTTCAGGATCTTTTGAGAGCATAGAGTTTTCATGATGTGTTATAGCTTGAGGCTTAAAAAAAAAGAAAGGATTTGTACAAGTGCAAGTTCCATTTCCAGGTCTACCAAGAATGTTTGTGCCTTTGGGCAAGTTGTGTACCTTCCCTAGGCACCTGTTTCTTAATCTTAAAAAAGAAGATAGCTGTACTTACTTCACAGAGGTACTGAGATTCTGAATTCATTAATTTTTAAATAATGCATCAAGACCATAGATCATAAACTGCTTTTGAAATGAAAATATTATTATAAATGAACAGTGTTCCCAATTTCAGTTGTGCCTGCACATGAAACTGGACCAAATCCTTGGGAAGAAGATAAGGAAAAGCCAAAGGTGAGGAAGCTTGGCTAGTATTTCCATACTCTTGACTAATGCATCCTTCTGTAGGGTATATGAAAATAGTTTGTACTTATTAGGAGTACACAAGAAATAGGTATGACTGGACACATCTACACATGCCCAGTTACTGTGGTTACTGCACAGTAACCAAAAGTTACTGTGAAGTATGGGTACATGTCTACACGTGCACACCTGTACTGCACAGTAACTGTGGTGACTTATGCCAAGTTGGGTATAAATTTGCTACCTGTAGCAAATTTATGCCCACTTAATTACTGCACAGTAAGGCATGTGTAGATGCTTTACTACACAGTAACACTGTGTGTGCTCCGACTTGGGAGTAAAGTTTACTCCCAGGTCAAAGCACACACAGCATTACTGCACAGTACATGCAGATGCTGGTCTAAAAGCCACTTATTGTGCAGTAACTTACTGCAAAGTTACTGCGCAGTAAATGCACATATAGACACACCCACTCTGTAGGCTTGTCAGGAAGGGGAACAGAAGATATCTAACTGGATGGATGCCCAGTGAGTTAAGAGGCCTTGCATTTAACCCATCTTCAATTTTAACATCCCACCTGCCTATACTACTACATCTTGATTTCCAACACAATGCAAAGAACCAGCAAGGTAGGTATCATGTTTCAGGCATTTGCTGCAACACTTGATGTGTGAAAACATGGGAGGTAAGAAAAACTGAGTCTTTGTATGATTTTGTGTTTACAATTCCTACATCAAGGATAACTGGCTGAACATTGATGGCTGCTTTTGTGGTAGTGGTTATTTACACTAACAGGTAAATAAGCACAAAAAAGTAAATGGTTGATTTCAATTTTCTAACCAACACATCTTTTCTCTGTGGTCCATCTACCAAGGGATGGAAAATATTTTACATTTAAATTCAAGCAAATTTGAAATGCACAGGTTTACTCACTTCATTATAAATATTAAAGCTGCCTTTTGCACTGAAAATATGATGAACATTTTCACAATGTTTCAGTGAAAAATAGTCTTTGCACTGAAATAGTAAATACAGAGAATGAGTACTTGACGATGCCAACTAACAAAGCAAACATTTTATTGTTATCAGATTTTAGTTTTCAGTTGAGCTTGATTGCATGGGGAAATCATCATGTGATAGTGTAATCTCTTAATGAGTTTTGGTATCTGTAGACTACAAACAGCAGTGAGCCAAGCAGCAAAGTTAAGAGCTGGATGCAAAACTTCAAATGACGGAAAAGAGAAGGAAAAAGATGAGTTTAAATGAATGCATTAAAGATCTCAACAGAATAAAATAACTCCTTACAGAGAAAGAAGCCAGTGGTAAGGACTGCTTCTGATGCATCTTGTTGTCTATGCAAAAGCTGTAACAAAGGACAAGAATGACAAAAGCAATGTGTTTTGTGTTCAAGGACAGTGAAGCACTTTTCATGTGTTGCCAAACTGGATTAGAATTATGAGCATGTAAAGATACAGGAACTTTTTAGATATTTCAACTTTAAGAAACAGTCAGCAGGTATTTTACACAATGTTCTTTAAAACAGTGCTTTATTTTCCTAAATTAAAAAAAAATGTTGCTTTCATTCATTAATTACATTCCTGTACACAAAGTAACTCTTGTATCTTTCTATTAGCTTTATACCTAATCTCCAAGCACCAGTGAACTCAGACATTCATCAGGAACAATAGCACATACAGTTCCAACTTTCATTGGTGGTTTCTTTTTTCACTGGGACATAAGCCAAACTCAAACTATTTGGGGGGAAAAGTAACAGACACACAAACCACTATTTACTTTGAGGCCTAATACAAAGACACCTGATACAAGCCAAGATGGAGAGAAATCTGAGTATTCAGTGTACAAGCCTAAGAACCCACAAGAGTAAAATGTTGGAGGGGGGAAAGAAGGGGGAGAAATAAAAACCACGAGCTTGGTCTCTGACTAACTGGTTGTCATTTTTGCAGGTGAATGTGCTCTTGTTAATACACACACAACTGGGCAGGTCAGGTATTCTTGTATAAATCACACCCACTTTTAACTAGACACTTCCAGAAGGAGGAACTTTCATCAAGAGAACTGATCCACTAAAAGGTGAGCAAAAGTTTTTAGTGTTTAAAAAGTTTACTAACAAAGTACTTTGAGTGTAGTGATGGGGAAGGAGAGAGGAGAAAAAAAAAAGAGTCTGGAGAATAACTGAAAAAATGACTCTAAGGGGGTGTCATGTGGAGAGGTAGCTGATTTCAACAGTATTTGCCATCATGCACTGTTTAACCCAGCTTATTGGCACTGGTTCTCATAATATCCAAAATTCCCAAAACTGTATACACTTAAACTGCATCCAGCAATAACACTGTGATCTCTCCCCACAAAAAAACCTTCATAGGTTTTCTTTATGATGATAAAAGTTAAGTGCAAGGGGAATATTTCTATAGTCCTTGAAATAAAAAAATTCTGAAACTGGAAAGAATCTTACTGATTTTGAAAAGTTCCTCATTTATCTTGAAGGAAATTGGAAATGTGTATATTTCAGAAGTCAAATTTAAGAATGTTTCCCAAAGTCATAGACATTAATGTTTCTACAGGTGCTCATAAAAGGTCAAACAAATGTAAGTGGTAGGTTTAATTCCAGAGCCTTATCGAGAATTTGAGGTGGATTTCCCATTCCCAAAAATGTTTCAGCCTCTGAATTAAAGCAGTGTTTCTAGTCCCTCTTTATGAAATGGAAGGCCTCACATTACTCCACACACAACATCAGTGCATTTTGGTAAATTAAGGAGCACCACTAATGAGTATCAAAAGGGGTTCTTGTCCAGACCTAGATTGAGGCAAAAATAGCTTTTGCATCCAACTCTGAGGAGGAGGTATGTTAAACAAAGGGGATACCCAAGCCCCTTCAAAAAAAATAAAGGACCAGGTGTGGAAGGAAGGGGGAGAATACTCTGGTGGCTTAATTGATTATTTTAGAGGCCAGGGAAATGTCTTTAGTTACATGATATCTCTAGGAGAGAGAATATCTTTCAAGGAATGCTGCTTAGTTTTAAGGACTAATCATTCTTATCTTCACTTGGAATAATATCTGTTTCCTGTATTGATATTGTAAGGTATATATAATAACCTTTGATGAAAATTATCTGGCAAAACTGGAGTTGGCTGCAGTAATATTTGTGGTGCCGGAGACGGCTTATGGACAGCTGTTGTAAAAGCCCTAAAAGTACTCATAATTGATGATCTGGAAGGGTGATAAGTTATTCCTCTACTGGTGTTCAGTCATGGCCTGCTGTGACAAAATTCCAAGACAGCTGTAGCCACTATGTTCCTATTTGGGGGTGTCGCAGGGCACCTTGGTGCTCCTGCTCCTACAGAGGAGGAACTGCCAGGGAGAGAGCCCTGGCAGGACAATAGCGAGCACAGCTGCGGGTTGCCGGGGCAACTAAGGAGAGTCAGCTAGCTAGAAGGGGGCAGGGCCTGGCCCTTATAAAACCCAGGGCGGAAGCCAGGCTAGCAGTTCCCTGCTAGCAGTCCCAGAGGCAGGAACCCCCGGGGCTAGGGGGCGAGCCGCTCTAGCTGAGTGAAGGAGGGTAGCTCGAAGAGGTTTGAGCACCATGGTTAAGCCAGGCGACATTGAGTTAAGTTGTGGCCAAGAGGCTTGTGTTTGGTTGTGGTTGTTTATTACACCGGTGGTTTGGGTGACGCTATAGGGGTTGGAGGAGGCCTCATAGGGGGCTCACGGTAAAGTGGGGACCCCGGCGCCAGTGAGGGTGCACTAGGTCCTGAGAGATGCAGGGCAGAGTCGTGGGGTCAGTAAAGCTCAGAGAAGAGTGGCTGAACCCCAAGGGACCCACAGGGGTGTGGGGCCCTAGCGCCAGCGAGGGTGCAATATTCTCAGAGGGAACCCCAGTGGTGTGGGAACCCTGGCGCTAGTGAGGGCGCAGTATCCTTAAAGGGGCCTCACGGTGGAGTGTGAGGACCCTGGTGCCCAAGGGGGGTGTATAGCAAGCCCCAGAGAGGGGGCAGTATTATTGGGGAGCCCTAGCATGGGCCCAGCGAACCCTAGAGAGGGTCAACACTTGAGAAGCCCCAGCGGGGGCACAGCGTGAACCAGGAGAGGGTCGCGTATTATTAGGAGCCCAAGAGTGGGAGTAGCAAGTCCCAGAAGAGGGGGACTATGGAGAAGCCCAGGATGGGCGTAGCAAGCCTGGGTAGTAGGCTAGTGCTGCAATAGACCTCAGACAGGGGCAGGGTGCTGCGGTGGACCCCGACGAAAGGGGTTAGCAGTACAGAGCCCAGGAGAAGGGCAAAGTGCGGCGGTGGTCCCCGGCAAAGGGGATAGCAGCACGGCGCGCCCGGAGGAGGGAGGTTAGCAGTGCGGTGGGCCTAAGAGACCGTAGGGCTTGATACGAAGTCCCAGAGAGGATAAGGGTCCCTGGAAGGGACGACCCTTTAGAGAAGGCCTGAAGTCGGCCTCGAGAGCCCCAAGAGAGGGGCAGTATACTAGAGAGAGCCCGGAGTGGGCATAGAGAGAGAGAGCCCAGGAGGGGGCACTTCCATAGAGCATACGGAGTAGGCCCGAGGGAGCGGGTGAGTTGATTTGCGACAGGACAATATCCAGAACATCTGCAAGGCTTGGGGCGTGGTATTAGGGGTTGGTAGGAGCCACGCGTGGCCCTAAGGCTAGGGTGCCTGGGGAGCACCCATCATGTAGGGAGACCCCCAGTGGGTCCAGGAGAACACGGGGACCACGGGGACAGAGGTCCCGATTAGCCGTGCCCAAGGAGGTGTAAGGCAGCCTCCCAAACTGACTGAACATCAAAGATGTGGTGGGTGAGAATAAAAGGGTACCCTTGGGCCAGACTTGACACGGTGAGAGGGACCTCAAGGAGATCACGGCCCTCCTGTGGGACTCCACCGTGACCGGGGGCTTTTCCATTACTATACAGTAATGCTGCTTTTTTTTTTTTTTTTTTTTTTTTAATTGATTTAAGGCCTCTCAACACATCTTGTTATAAGGCAGGGGTGGGCAAAATGTGGCCTGTGGGCCAGATGTGGCCCACCAGGCCATTCTATCTAGCCTGCAGGGCCCCTAAAAAGTTTAGAAGTTAATATTTATCTGCCCCTGGCTACCTGTCATACGACCCTTGATGGCTTGCCAAAACTCAGTAAGTGGCCCTCCACACAAAATAATTGCCCACCCCTGTATAGGGCATAAAATACTGCCATTAACATTAGCAATTCTTGTTTTCTGGGAAAAATGTCCTCCTGAAGTTTCTCCAATAATGTCTTATAAATAATAGATTCTACCAAAAGGCAAACTGTGTCATTTTATCAAGGGACGGCCAGTATAAATTTGATCAGAAACATGACTATCAATAAAACATCCACCTGCTTCTTAATTTCAACACAACTTTGTTTTGAAGTTACACACAAACATTGGCCCACCACATTTGCCACACATACATCACAATATCGAATTAGTACATAAAGATCAAATTCAAAATTGACTGGAAATGAAAGTGAAACTACTGCAGTTCTCACTGTTCAGATTATTATAATGATTGTATCTAAAATACCAGGTGTATTTTTAACTATGTAGTATACGTTAATTTACTTTGGGTAGATCAGCTGCATTTTTGCCTGTTGTCACAAAGCAAAACAGATGTTTCCAAAACCAAACTGTCTCTCTAGCTTGGACTGTTAAACTGCTATTAACATTTTAAATTCTTACAGCAACCTGTAAGAGAACATCCCAACTAAACAAATTTATTTTGTTTTCCAGTTTGACAGCTGCACTGAAGGGGGCTGCCTTGATAAAAATAATGCTGCATTCAGCACTGGCTTTACCACTCCTGTTAATTGCAGTCTCTTCCAACTTCGCAATGGCAATCAAAAAGGGAAAAAGAGCTCCACAGACGCTGTCAAGAGGTCCTGTAGCTTCACTTTATTTAATTAGCTGCTTAAGCTAGTAAAAAGAGCCAGAAATGTTTTAAATGTTCACATTTTATACATTCGAGTGTTATCAAATTTAAGACTATTTTAAAACTTCATGTTTCAATTCAACTGACCTGTGTGCTTAAAATTTACAGATCTGTATGATTTGAGGACAAAAATGTATGTTCTTTTTACTGCTATTGACTACTTTTAGCTGTATAAAACAAGCAGGTCTAAAAACAGGATTCACTTTCCATTTCCTCTTATATAACAAAATCATTTTAAAAGTTCTAATCTGATGTGTAAACCCAGTGAATGGGGTGATGTATAATCACTAATGACCTAATGTGGGCTGCAGAAAATGCATGATTGATTGTGACATGGAAGCAAGTATTCCAATGTGTCTTGTGGCCCAAGTTGAGCTTGTAGAAAACCTGGGAGAAACAAAGACAATGGGCTGTTAATGGGTAAACCAGAACCCATTAACAGTACACATATTTGCTGTAGAAACCATTGCTACACAAATATGGAAACCTGCAATAGGAGGTTTTATAGAATATTTTTCAGAATATAACCACACTTAGACTCATCTGAGGATACTCACATATCTATTTGCAGACCCCAACCATTTTTACACTTACAAGAAGTTCTTCATCAGGCATAATTTTCAGCTTTAATGATTATTAGAATTTTTGTCTTTAGATTAATGGTATTTTAGTGAATTCCTTACAAATACGAACACAGAAACAGTTTAGTAGCTCAGCAGGTTCACCATGATTTCTCTCTCTCTCCTTTTATGGGATTAAATAAGAATATATGCGGTGAAGAACCTCCAGTTCCCCTGCCGCCTTCTTCCTATGGCTTGGGAACCCTGCAGTCTTCAGCTTCCCCCAACTCCCTTGTAATAAATTATTCCAGCAAAATTATTCTTGCAAAGCATTAGCACAAGGCACACGTGCTACATAAGTTCCATGTAGGTCCAATTATCCATAAGTAAGACTTCAATTTTGGCACAGTAATTTTTACTAAATTTCATAGCAGAAATGTTGGAAGGGAAGGGAGAAGTAGAGGGGAGAGGGGAAAAAAATAAAACCATGAGTATCCACAGGAACATTACCAAGTAAGCTTGCAACAGTTTAAGAATAACCTTACTAAGTCCCAGGAAATACTAGAGTGCATTGCCTTACTGTGCTGCACTGCCCCATGGGAATTCAGGGCAGACATACATTCTTTCGACAGGTTAAAATCCCTGGCTGAACTACATCTGCTATGATTCAGTGTACTTCCCTCAGAGTGGCAGGGTGTACCAGGGCAATCAGAGAGTTTCTTCAAATTCACAGTTCCATTACCGCCGAGACAGCTGTAACAGTCTACACTTTACCCATGTGGGATCATGTCTATGCAAGTGACAAAGGAAGTATCTGAAGCTAGAGGTCTGATTAAAACCTATAGCAATTGTATAAAGCTAGGGACAGAAATTATACATAAACTGGTATAAAAGCAATCAGAAACTGGTTCTAATCTGTAACACAACAGAAGTTCAGTGTACAAACTGCCTTCAAAATGACTGAAAACAGTTTAAAACAAACCTGGGTGGAGGTAGTATCATACCTAACTGATTTAGGTTAAATCGGTTTATTAAACTTCTGTCCCAGACCCTTTCCAGATTCAAGTTAACTCGCAGTCCCCCAGAACCCCAGGATGCTCTGCACTCCCCCCACAAATCCCTCCTTGCAGGGTTGGTGGGCTAGCCTTGGCCCAAGCTGCCTCCTCCAGCTGAACACGGAGGTGTGCTCTAGTGCCCCTCCAGCTTCTGGCCTGGGCCACCGCAGACATGTGGCTGAATTTCCAGAATCAAAAGTGAATGTCTGTTCACTCGCTTATTGGGGCAAAATACACAGCTTAGACTAACCCGCAAAGAATTAACTGATTCAGCCTCAGGCATTTTGACTGTCTAGCCTAGAAGCCCCACAGTGGAACAGCATACAGAAAAGGTAACTACATAAAAAGATAACAAGGACTTCTCAAAACACCAGGAACTGAAAATATAAGGTAGAATCATAAAGTCTTGCACAGCACTTCTTATACACACTTGTATGGGAAGAAGGGGTGGAAACAAAAAAAGATTTATACGAAGAAAAGGGCCATCTGATAGATATTGACTATTTTTCTAAATGTGTAGTTGTCCTTCTTAACAAACCTGTAAGTAAGCATCTCATATGAAAGAGAAAAGCATTTTTTTTTAGTATAGTAATTTGGAAAATATAGTAACATACAGCTAGTGTCAATTCACCAAATTTCAAGCTTTGAAAATACTGTGAAATTGTAATCATACATCTTGCAGCCCATGCAAACTACAACAGGTTGGGCTGTTAGAGTGATATAGATTGCTAGAAAAAAAAGTAGCCCATACTAGTTCCTTGGAACCATAAGACACCTTCCTACACAGGTCATCAAATCAGACAAAACTCAAATGCTTCTCGGTCAACAGACCAAAATAAAACTGTCAACCTGAGAGAGAATTCTACATGAGTGAAGGATAAGCCAAGAGAGATACCAGATTTAACAGGGTTTGGATTTTTTCTCCTTTAAATAAATATCAGAATGTAACTTGGATTTCAACCAGAAGACCCAAACTTAGTTGAGACCGGATGAAGAAAAACACTGTCTAGCCCAAGCAACTGTCTTAAGTTGTTCAGGTTGATCAAAATAACTATAGGGAAAAAAGATTTTCAGCTGTTGCCAAAACATTCAATTTCCACCAAGCCCTTGAAACAATGATATTCACAAAGACTTGGTGAATGGAAAAAGCGTTGAAGAGCTTACACTTTAAGATTTGATAAGATATATGAATCAATTCATATATCAATCATTCATCTTATGATTCATTCATCTTATCAAGATTTGATAAGATGAATAAATCAATATGCACTATACTTTCACCAAAAGCACAAAATGACCAGATGCAACTAAGTGGGAAGTTGGTTATCTATTTATTTGTGTTTTATAGCAATTCTTAAAAGACTGTTTTGATACAGAAGTAGAATTGCCATGACTCAGGAACACCAAAAATATATAAAAGTGTTGGCTTAAAATTCAGAATATTTTCAAATATTTTACTTTTCTGGAATTTGAACATTTACGGCTTGTGCTTTCAAAGTCTTCTTTACAATCATGAGGACTAGAATCTATTTTTCTAAGCCACTTCTCTCCTCTGACCCAAGTTCCTTTACCAAATGAAAATCAGCCAGTCTCAGAGACTTGCCCTAGATTTTAAAACTGTTAGACACACCTAGGGCCCTCTACAGATGAATTTGTCAAAGTCACTGAGTTAGATGCCTAGCATGCTCAAGAACTTTGCTCAAACACGCAAGTATCCTTGAAAATGTGGCCCCTGGTCACCGGGGGCATGTGTGTATGACACTGTAAAGCGGGTTAAATGCTTTTGCACCATTTTAATGGTGTTGGTGTTTGCATGCGTCAGCAGCGTATTGCACATTAATTCCAGCCACTGTAGCACATTCAGAGGTGTAGTGCACTTTAAATGACTTTGGGGCACAGCAAAATAAAACACCTTCGAGGAGTTTTAGTTTGCTGCCCTACAGCCACGGAGCAAAGCACTGGGCTGTGTGGGGCTCAGGGGCTGTGCAGGCAGTCCATGCAGGCAGTCTGGCAGCAGCCTGGGAAGACAGAGTCCACCAAAGAAAAGAAAAACAAAAACCAGTGAGCCTGATCTTCCCCCTCTCCCTCACCCCCAGAGTTTGTCTGCTTCCAGGAGCTATGCAGGGACCCAGTCCTTCCCTTTGCAGCAGTTCCCCCCAGGACTGCCCGAGCTGGGTGCCTGTGGTGGGTGCTGCCGGCGGGGGGGGGGGGGGGGGGGCGGGGGAGGGGCTGCTGCTGCCGCCATGGAGGGAAGCACCAGCCCACCCCCACCCCAGCCCAGGGACCACTCCACCTGCTGGCAACTCACCCTCCCCATCCCAGTGTCAGAGGGGCAGGTAAGACATGGATGTACAAGACATGGGCGTTTATTTCGCCCTAAATTAAAGCAGTGTTTTTAAAAACCCACCACTTCAATTCAGGGCCCCCATTTCATCTACACATGCCCTGGTGTACTAAGCTTACCTATCTGTAAAATGAGTGCAATATTTAAAATGTGAGCAATGTAATAATGCCATAGGGTTTTGAAATCTTTGAATTAAAAACAAAAGTGCTGCTTTGGTGCAAAGAACTCCTAAAATCCAAAACCAAAACTTTTATGAGAGAAAACTCTGACTCCTGGTTAATTTCTCTGTTATATTCCTAGGCTGGGGAGATGATATTACTTGGGTGCAAACTTATGAAGAAGGGCTTTATCACTCCAAAAAAAGGTAAAGAAGTCTTTGAGTAAAACAGTCTGGAAAAAATAAGATTGATTTGGTAGAACATCAGTACAACGTACTATAAAGAAACAGACCAAGAAATATCTCACTGTAGCTAGCTGACAGACCAATCAGTTAACAAACTGTATGTTGATCCTAGAAATAAAAATCACATTTGCTACCAAAGACACTTCTGAAGGGATATTTAATAGCAGCCTTCCGAACAACCCTTCAGGTAGTTGAAGAGGATGGAGCTGGACTGTTCAGTGGTGGCAGATGTGAATGAGGAGCAATGGTCTCAAGCCGCAGCAAGGGAAATTTAGGTTAGATATTAGGAAAAACAATTCTCATAATTGGGGTAGTAAAACACTGGAACAGGCTGCCCAGAGGGGTGGTGGAATCTCCATCCTTGGAGGCTAAGACCAGGTAGACAAAGCCTTGGCTGGAATGATCTAGTGGGGGATGCTTCTGCTTTGAGTAGGGAGTTGGACTAGATGACCTCCTGAGGTCCCTTCCAGCCCTAATTATCTATGATTCTGTGATTTTCAGACATGGCACAATGGCTCTACAGCATCAACTCCTCTTAGACAAGATGTTGGCATTTATATAATATTTGTTTGTTACAACACAGCAGTGTAAATAGTGAAGTAATAAATACATAAATGATAAATGTCCATCATTAGAAAAACAAGCAAATATTTCTCAGGATAGCTGTATTTCTGACAATGTTCTATCACACTGAATTTTATCTTAATGGCTTCTCAACACCTACATTTGGCTTATGGCATTAAATATATGCACATGCTCTCATTGTTCTTAATTAAGAATGAGCTCTTTAAATGATCACTCTGATTCAGCTGGAAACATAATTAAGGATTCCTGTACAGCTTGCAACCACACTTGCAGCCACATCCCTTCACTGCACTCACTTCTGTCTACAGCAAGTTGACACATTCCTTTCCTGACTTAACAACTTTATTTTAAAAGAAAGCACAGCTAATATGATTTATATCCTGAAAACAAGCTAGAGTTTCTACTGAGCAACTAATGGCCACAGTGGCCAACACATGTAATAGTACAGCCAACTGAAAGATCCGTAAAAATAATTTAAAAAAATAAATCACAATTTCTGCGTGTTGATATTTTGGCATTTCATTAACTCTCGTCATGTCTGGAAAATTTCAACCAGTTCAATAACTGATCAAAAGAAACCAAGTTTTTCAATAACACATTAAGTTTCCATTTTAAAATTAAAATTTGTAAGGAACACTTGGTAGAAAAAGTGGGGAAAAAAATCATGGAATTTTGACTAGTTCTCCTTAGTAAGTGTATGCAGGCTAAGGGAGGCATATAGACTGAATTCCACTAAGGAAGTAGAGGGCCATCTTTGTTTTCTCTGTAACCTCCATACTAAATGAGACTAAAATTATAATTCTCTGCCATCTCCATATTTAAAACTGCTTATTTTAAATGCATCTTCCCCCTCCTTTTTCCTTCAAGTTTTTTTTGAGGGAGTCACATGATGCTTAGGAGTATCTTCAGTTCTTCCTAATACCTCAGTCTAGTTACTACTGTGATGTAATGCAAGATGCAGTATTTGCATACTCTGATTTTTTAACAAAATTTGAGGCACTTGAATACTCATGAGATGATCTAATTAAAGCTTTTTTTATTATTATTGTCATCAAAGTAACAAGCCACTCATGGTCATTCATCATTTGGAGGACTGTCAATACTGTCAAGGTAATTTCAATTCTCAGACTATTAAATTAATGTGAAGGTAGGGTATGTACAAGCATTTGCCACATCCAGTTTACATTTAGTTGGCTTAAAGTAAGCCAGGAGCAGTGTGCAGCCATTCACCATTGCTTAGAGCAGCATGAGCAGCCCAGAGTAAGTAACTTGGGGTCGGAGGAAGGGCTGGAGGAACTGGTGGGGCTAGTAGGTGTTGGGGAGGGTAAAAAATAGCCCAGTCCAGGCTCAGGAGTAGGAACACTATAGCCCTTCTTAGTTTTGGGCAATTTAAGCCCTGAAAGTGCCTGCATGACTGAGCATTTAAATTGACCTAGCCTTTCATTAGGTCAATCAAAATGTAACACTTGTATGTACTATAGGTATTGGCATATCTGAACATATCTGCCAATATCTATAGCCTAACATAGCTATTCCATTGTAGTTATCTGCGACAATGAATTGCTGTCTCAGATGTGTTCTTTGGGTAATATATTAAGAAAGTAAGTAATAAAAATAGGCTGCTTTAAGAACTAATTACCACTTTATTTTATTTATATTTTTTACAAACTCTACAGTGAACTTTTGCAACAAACAAGACAAATATTTTTCAGCACTTATGCTGAGGCTGATGAAGCACTAGACAACCTACAGAGAGATGCATAAATTTACTACTGACTCATTGAACAGATTTAATATTGTTCAGGCCTCCTAAACTGGTAACCATAGAAGGAAACTAGGGCATGACTGCTGAAACTGATTTAGAAGAAGAATTTACCATGAATAATGAACTTTTGTCAGACTGTGACATGATACCCACTGAAATGAAAGGCTTCATAAATAACAGAAGCAAGCTTCCATTTGTCTGGCTGGAAGACTGTGCCTACATTGAACAAAAACAAAAAATAGCAATAGACCTATGCACTGTCTCCTCAGGAAGAGACAGCAAATCATGAATAATATGATCAGTCTCATGTAGAATAATGTTTCCATAAGGAAGGAAGAACAGGAACTGAAAACAGCTGTTAAAGTACACACGAGGCAAGAGTTTGTAGGTGATGTTTTTTATTTGACCAACTACATGGTTGGGATAGATTTAGACAAGGTTTGTAAGGTATCATGGTACCCTTCCTCCAGTCTCCTCAGGTACCCAAAAGCTTGTCTAAATCTATCCCAACCATGTAGTCGGTCCATTAAAGATATCACCCACACAAAAAACTTTTGCTTTTTGCACATTGCCTCAACCATCATACCTACAGCATCACTTCGATACTGTTAAATTATCACATTTTCTTCCAGCACTCAAGGCGGCTTTTGCTGAAAGTGATGAGATACAAGAAATGGCTCAAAATAACTTCATTATGCTGAACCTCATGGTATGAACAATCTTTTATGCTTTGCACATTTCAAGCAGCTTTCTTACACTTGTTGCCTACTTTGGTTTCATATGCTGACATAATTTTTTACTCACAGATGCTACCTGTACAAAGTGCCCTGGAATATTTTAATAACTTACTTTTATTTTCCTGCCAGCATGAAACCACAGATAAGAACTTGTCACCTGATGGACAATATGTACCTCGAATCATGTTTGTAGGTATGTGCAATAGATATTTGCTTGTTGAAAATGAAACCTCATTATCATGTTATAAAAGGAAATTCCTCTCATGGGTATCAATTTATGAAATATAAATATTTTTATATATTAATTTTTTAACTTGTATAGTACATATGTCCCTGGAGGAATGGGTGGTATATGACAATAAAAAGAAAGAGTTTAGTAATTTACCCAAAAGGAAAAACATTGACAGACAAGCCTAATAAATACCTTGAATAGCTGCTAATGGTAATTCACTACAAATAATCTTCCTGTGGGTGCAAAGTGTATTTTTAAGACACTTGTCAAAATCACTAGACTTCCTAATAACGTAGTAAGAAAGGATAAGTCAGCCATATTCTGCAATACACCCCAGCTCTGTACCACGGCAAAGTATACTAGAGTTAAGCTCATAATCAGTGAAGACGGGCACTCGATAGATGCAATGCAGTTAATTACTTAGGAGAAAGATAGTGTGCAGTGATGAATTGAGATTCCTGTTCCCCTCAATCTTGAGCACCTCTCTCCCTTTCAGTACCAAACTGAACAGCTGCAATAAACCTCTGGCAGCAGACAAGATAAAGCATTGTTGCCAGGTCTATTCTTCCATTACTCCCAAACCAAGATCTCTGAGTAGGGAGGGTAAGGCAGTAGGGCACTGTGAAGCTTCAGTTGCTGATTCGATTCAGAGGAGATTTGGCGGCCAAACCTCCAAATCCAAATTGAATCAGGAGGCTGATTAAAAGGTCCAAATAGATTCAAAGCCTCCGAATCAATTCGGAAAAAATTCGGAGATTCAATGCCGCAGGGAGCTGGACCTACGCTCCATGCCAGTAAGTAGGGGGCGCCAGGCCCCATTCCCTTCCTGCTCCCCCAGTCCCCCTGAGTGCCCCTTGACCCCTGCCCACTCTCGCAGCCCAACAATGGCTGCTCTGCCTGGCCCCAATGTCCCGATACTTAAAAAAAAAACAAAAACAAAAAAAAACACAAACAAAAAAAAGCCCTGCACTTGCTGGCTGCTGCAACAGCCATCAGGGCCTCTGGGGGCTTGTGGTAGAGTGCCCTAACACAGCGCAGGGCAGTGAGGATCCCCCCCCCCCCCCCCCCCCACCGGGTGGGATCCAGGGGGTACAGGGCTTTTTTTTTTTTTTTTTTTTTTTTTTTTTTAAGTGCCGGGACACTGGGGCCAGGCAGGGCAGCCATTGACGATGGTGGTAGAGTGGGTGGTAGAGCAGTGGGTGTGCCTGTTAGATTCAGAGATTCAGCATCAGCCAACTCTCTGAATCAGATTCAGCCAAATTGATTTGGGACAGTGATTTGAATCACTGAATAGAATCACTGTCCCCCAAACTGGCCAAATCCAAAGTGAATACTAGCTGCTTCACACAGGCCTATAAGGCAACTGTAACAGGTGATCCAGTAAAACTTGCAAGTGGAGCAGAGCCACCTAGAGCTAGCCAACAGGAACTAGTGAGCATGGAGGCATTTCTGAACCCTTGCCTCTCTACAGAGCTTGCATGCTCAAAGCAGGGTTGTACTTAGGTGCTTCTGTTCAATCAAGATCCACAGTAAGCAGTTTTTAGGCTGGCATCTACATATACAGCCGCTAAAAGTGCAATAACGCTGTGGGCGGACTGACTTGGGACAAGTTAGTCCCAAGTCAGTCCACACACACAGTGTTACTGCACAGTAAGGCATCTACACGCGTGTTATTGTGCAGTAACTAATCAGGGGTAAATTTGATACCTGCATCATGCAGGTATCAAATTCATGACCAGGTCAGTGAAAGTCACCATAATTACTGTGCAGTATGGGCATGCATGTGTAGACATGTGCCTGTACTGCACAGTAATTTTTGGTTACTGCACAGTAACCTAAGTTACTGCACAGTAAGTGTACCTGTGTAGACACGCCCACAGTGGCCTAGTTTCAGATAGATGGTGCCCCCACACATACCAGTGTAGCTTAGTGATTAGATCACCCTCCTAAAAGGGAGGCCATGGATTTGAAGCACATGCACTCTGCCACATCCTTGAGTGATGTAACCACTAGTTTATTTCATAAAAGATGGATTAACAGCCCCACTTTCTCCTGCTGTGTAAAAGCAACTGTGGTTGCTGTGCTTTGCATTGGACTTAATGTTCTAGGCATGCATTGGTCAGGTTTAGAACATACGTATCAGGTCAGCACCTCTGGAGACTCGAGCAGAACTGTGATCTTCTATCTAGCTTTTAAGGGAGCTAGATGCCTTAGCCTCCAGGTAGATGGGAGTAGGATGCCTCTGCTCAAACCAGGGTGCTTCCACACACTCATGGAAGTCCAAATTTAGGGACCTAAGGAAGTGTCAGGACCAAAGGTGTCAGCACTTAATGGTTCTGATGCTGCAAGAATAGAGGATTTATGGATCACTTTGAGACAGACACCAAAATGCTACCTAACCCCCATTTTAGGCTCCTAAGGTGCCATTCTGGATCTTGATATTACGCGTGGGTTCTCAAAGGTACTGAGGTGTCTAGTTCCTATGGATTTACTGGAAGTTACACACCTCAATACCTTTGAGGATCTGGACCTTAGCTTCTGTGCTTCCATCTTTATCTCTAACCCCTGCAGGGGTTGAGACGAAATACGTTCAAGACTGACAGGTACTTAGATGCTACAGTAATGGACACCCAAATTACATAGATAAAAAACATTGGAAAGGGAAGGAGAGGAATCAATGAAAAGGTTGGGGAATCAAAGTAGTAAATGAGAAGCTTCAGGTACATTATACTAATATCTTACTAAATGTCTTCATAGTTGTAGTATTGTATCTATATTTAGTCAGAATGGCCTCCCTCTTGAGATAGTCTCAGTCCATATATCTCTGGATATTTTCCTTTAAACAAGGCCTAGCATATGCAGACAAGTGAATATAAAATATACTATTTTTAATAGAAAGTGTTTAATAAAAATAATAAGCATTGCCCATTCATTGTTTGGTATGTTTTAGTGTAAAAATAACAACTAGGGGGTGGGGGGAGGGGGAGTAATTATGTCATTCTCTAAATTAGAATACCTCAAAAATGTTAAGTTGACTTGGTCTCCTAGGTCACAAGCAATAGATGTTGAAGATGATGTTACCAAGAATGAATTAGAATAATTGGTTTCATGTGGTTATTTTTTCAGACCCATCTCTCACAGTAAGAGCTGATATCACTGGAAAATACTCTAATCGACTTTACACCTATGAACCTCAAGATGTACCATTCTGTATGTTTCCTCATTTTGAGTGACTTTGCATTTCACATTGTCACTCATTTTAACCCATCCCAGTAATTTATGCTCTAGGATCAGATAGGGCTTCATTGCCCTTCATATTCCTACCCCAAAACCATTTAAAGTGTTTATAAAGGGCTACAAGAAACTACAGTTTAGGGACTTGCCCTAGCAAAATGTCAAACACTGTTCTGATATAACAAAGCATGTAAGCACATAATTCACCCCATTCATTTGGGACCAGTTAAGCATGCACATAAGAAACCACAGGATTAGACTTTAGATGATTATACAGAGGAAGAGTAAAAACTACTAAACAAAGGGCTTCCCATGCACAGGGATAACTAACCTAGGGAGTGGGGGTGGGACGAGCGAGAGAAAGAGAGAGAGAGAGAACTATTTTTTTGTCTTCCAACTTTTCATTCAGTGTTACTGAAATATTAAGATTCACATGTTTACACATGGACAGATACAACAATTATTCCTCTTTAAAAAGGAGGGCGGATTTCAATGAGGTAAGAAGAATAGTTGGGGAGGCACTGAGGTTCCAGAGGGGAGGGGAGTAGGGTGTCCAAGAAGAGTGGTCGTTCCTTAAGGAGACGATCCTCCAAGCCCAAAGGGAGGTAATCCCAACAAGGATCAAAGGGGGCAAGAGGGCGCAAAAGCCCCCATGGCTCACCAAAAGCATACGGGAATGTCTCCTAACTAAAAGGGAGGCATACACCCAAAGGAAGGGAGGAGCCATCACCAGGGAAGACTATACCTCAATTGCTCGGGGCTGCAGGGGGGCGGTCAGGAAGGCCAAGGCGGAGATGGAACTGGGACTAGCTACCCGGATCAAGGACAACAAGAAGTCCTTTTTTAAATACATAGGGGGCAAAAAGAAGGTACCGGGTAACATGGGGCCTCTGCAAGACACACTAGGAAATCTGGTTGTCGCACCAGATAACAAGGCTGACCTATATAACGATTTCTTTGCCTCTATTTTGCTGAGCAGGGACCAGATCAGCCCGCCCACCAGGACCCCCTCAGGCCCCGGGGGAGGCACACCCAGGCCTAGGGTCAGTGACGATCTAGTCAGGGAACTTCTGGAGGGACCGGAGGTATTTAAAACAGCTGGTCCTGATGATCTCCACCCCAGAGTGCTGAGGGAATTAGCAGAGGTCATTGCAGGACCCCTGGCACAGCTTTACAATTACTTGTGGTGCTCTGGTGTGGTGCCAGAGGACTGGAAAAGGGCCAATGTGGTTCCCATTTTCAAAAAAAGGGAGGAAGGAGGACCCAGAAAACTATAGGTCAGTTAGTCTTACGTTACATTGTAAAGGCAGACCATTTTGGTGCAAGAATTGGATGGAAAGTTAGGGCTTCAGCTCCTTAAAGTCTGGGATTCTGTTGGAAAAGTCAGTGGCATCTTATTTTAAAGAGCAGTTGGGCAGAAACCTAGTGAGAGCCTTCAGCAGGGCAACTTCTAAAAGCAGGTGGTTGTAATCTGATAAAAGTTTACTAAAATGCCATGGTTTAAGACATGCAAAACTCTAGAACTCTTGGTTCAGAGATTATACCTTTTTTGAGACCAACTAAGAAATTGTAAAAATATATATATGATATACAAACTTATTTGTATACAAATTACATATATTATAGATTTTTCAAGCTTTCGGGCCCATGCACCCTTCTTCTGGCTGAGGACAAATCCATGATGGTAAAAATCCTCTTAGGTAGAAAATAAACTTCATTTTGCACAAGAGAGCCTGAAGAAGGGTGCGTGTGCCTGCAAAGAAAGATAAGCTTGCAAAGAAAGATAATTTTTTGCAATTTCTTAGTTGGTTTAATAAAAGGTATCATCTCTGAACTAACAGTCTGTAGAGTTTAGTATTTCTTTTTGTCTCAGACCAACATGGCTACCAAATACATCCCTGGTTTAAGACGGCCACTGTTTTGGGAGTGGAACATCTATATTGGGCTGGTTCCCGCCCGGTGCGAGTCCTGATCTGATGAAGGCAGACTCCTTTGTCACCAGCTTTGCTGGAGTATTATTTAATGTGCAGTTGAATCAAATTATCACCAGGGAAACATTCAACTCCGCAGAAGCATGGCCCTCCCCCTCAGTGCCCATTACAGTGAGCATATTGCACAAGCACTGGGATGTGAATTTGTGTTTCAGGGGGGAAATATTTCTATGAAGTACAAGCTGAAGCAGTGGGCATTCAAACATCAAAAGCATAAATGAAATCATCATAATTATAACCATGCAATGTGTAAACAATGAATATGGAAGTCGTCCCAGTTTGTTGCTATATGGGATTATTACATATCTGCAACACTTCTCACGAACGTTCGGCTCACATCGCTTTGCAGGTACCTAAAAGGAGCTATAACAATAACTTGTTTGTGCGCCTATACTCTCTTAAGTACTTCTACTCACCTCGCTGGGGTTGTTTGACCCCAGTATTTTTTCCTGCCATGGCAGGGGGTCGGACTTGATGATCTGTTCAGGTCCCTTCCGACCCTATCAACTATGAAACTATCAACAAGGCCAGGGAAGGGCAGGAGGGATTTACCATGGTTCTGCTGAATATTTATTAACTGTTTTTTCTGTCTGCTTTATCCTGCATTAAGTGAAAGCTAAATCACAATAATTTACCACTGCTTTATCCAGAGATAAATCACTGTAGGTTATATTCACTCACTGCAGGATTGGCAAAACAATTAAAGCAGATCAGCTGAGATTTATTTCCTAGTGACAAGTCCCATCTTCCCCTTTAAAGCAATAAGAAAGCAATAGTCTCTCCATGCCCAGAAATGTGACTTTTCAAGTTGACCTTCCCTCTCTATTATGTTATAACCTTTGATAGTAGAGATTTTTCCCACTCCAAATGTGATGTTTGATGAATTGAAGAGCACGGACTTTTAACTTGGTTCTTGATTACAAGTTGTTGAGAAACAGTTTTAAAAGAGGAAGGGCCAAAAGCAGGTGAAGTGGTGTTTTTTCAAGTTCTTTTAGATTAGCAATGACAATCCAAGAAAAATTTACATAATCTGTTTCAGTAAATGACACCAGAAATCTCACAATGACTGGGATTTGCATATAATTAATAACGTTGTATTAAGTAATATTCATACAAACCAGATTAGTAATAAATTGAGGTTTACTTGGATCTTATTTTAGGTTAGAAGTGTACTTAAAATATTTTATAATGGATATTTATTCTTCTTCTTCCAGTGATAGAGAACATGAAGAAAGCACTCCGTCTCATTCAAACCGAACTATAATTAACAGCAGTTGAAAACATCATAGCCTCTAAGAGGTAAAACACAAGGATTTTGAAATGTATTCATTAGCAGCTCTGTGCAAAGGTTTCCAATACATTACCAAGCATTTACAGCACGCAGAATTTCATATGAAAAAAGGATCTATTTTCAAAGACTGCATGACGCTTATGCAAGTATATTATATTACAAATTTAGGACAAATGAGTACTACCTACCTACATTTTCAATTAGCTGCTTGGAGAGAATTGAAGGTTATGGCAGTAAGGTACAAAGACTTGCAAATGGCTCAGATCCTGCCCCATTAAATCAGCTATGATTTCTGGACAAAACCATAACCAATTCCACCTCATGTCTGTTTGATAGTCCATGTCAGTGAATAGTCTCAACTCAGATCCCATTTTTATTTCATACATAGGGACCTACCAAACTCACAGGCCTCGGCAGCCAATTACATGGCTGTAACACAGCAAGGGCCATTGGGTTCAGGGCTGTATCACAGCTGGGGCCCCCATTTTGAAGGTGGAGCAAACTGCCCCATGCAAACTCCCCCATGCTTCTGATTGGCTGAGGGGTGCTACAAGACCCACCACTCCCAGGCATTGATTGAAAGCCCTAGCTGGAGCTGCCTGGCTTGTTATTCAGTCATTATCACCCTCTTCAAGGGACAGAGGACAATAATTACTGAGCACACAAACAGTTAAACAGTTTAAGTGTAGCAAGTAAACAGGTCCATGCCCTGCTCCAGCTGTCATCCCCCCCCCACCCCCGCCCTCCCCCCCGCCCCACTTCAGGAGATGGGCAGCCTGCCTTTTTTTTTCTCCCCTCTTTGCTCCTATCCCCTTCCCCCTTCCCTTCTAGGAGACAGCATTTTTGCCAGCTCTTTGCTGGCTTTTTGAACATAGCTGGTTCCCTGTGCTTTTTCATGAAGAACCGCCTATTTCACGGGAGATTTCATGGAAATCATGTAATTGGCAGTCATGTATTTGACAGGCCCTATTTCATACAGCACAAAGGTCCTTAGGAGAACTCAGGTTTACTCCCTATTTTCTTGCTATAGAAGAGAGGCTGCTGACAGGATCAGATCAGAGGAGGCAGGAGAGGAAAGGGAAAATTTGTTTATTGCAAGTTTTCAAGAAAAGCTTGGATTTCAGGATAGGACCATGAGTTGAAAGTGCATTCATGAAAAACTCAGCAAAACGCAGGTAAAGGAGCTTAGCCTTGAAAAAGATACAATGAGAGAATGGGGTGAAAAGAAGAAGAAATCCTCATCTTCAGTACTGGGAGCCAACTATTTCTTTGCAATGGAAACTAGTAGGCATGCCTCAGTGCTGCCCATGTTAGCAGGATTTGACTCACAGACCAAATGCACTGGCAATGCCACAATTGATCGTGACAGTCTCCTCAGGTTGTCTGGAATACAACTGCAGATGCAGCAGGGTAGATAGGATGAACAGTCTCACTTAAAAATTCTCATGGGACCATTGTGGCATAGAGATACATAAGAGCAGATATCTAGATGGTGCAAGTGCATCAAAGTGAGTGAGGAAAGCCAATTTACACTGGCAATATTTCTGCTATGCTTGTATATCATTCACCAAAGCAAGCTAATAAATGATTTATCCTATGACAACACTAAAAACACAGCAAACTGTATGTATGATCTGGTACAAAACACAGTGTTTGTTATAGATGTAACAGGTTAAGCACCTTAGGACCATTGTGATGCCCCCTACAGGCTGCCTCAGCCCTACTAGGCCAGGGATAGGCAATTATTTGGGCCCAAGGGCCACATAGGGAGTCTTGATGAGCTGTCATGGGTGGTGCTTTCTCTCTTCTCCCACGATCAACTCTCTTGGCCTGGTCTGCCTTAAGGGCTTATGTCATGACCACCAGCTGCCCCCACAGTCAAGCCCATGCCTCACTTATGGTATGCAATATCACATCCAGTGGGACACTTGTTCGCAAAGCCACCAGGCCACTTCAGGCTTTTACTCCCTTGTTGGGACTGCAGCCTTCCTGGCTTCCACCTCTATGCTGTAGCTGGTCCCTTGCTGCCTAGGCCCACCACACTGGGCCAAGCTCCTTGGTCCCAGCCATACCAATCCAAGCTCTTTGGGGGTCTCCATCCCTCCTCTGTCACTGAACCTCCCCAAACTCTCTCTGTCTGTCCCCTGGCCCTGTCTCCACCTTGCACTGGGCCTTCTGGCCCCAAGCTCTACCCCTCTCTGGGCTCTGGCCTTGCTCCCAGGCCCCTAAATGCCCTTGGCAGGGCTCAAGGTAGTTACGTGCCCCTTAGGCACTAATGGGACCTCTAAAAAATAAAAATTAAAAAAAAATTTTTTTTTTAAATTGCTGGTTAGCCAACTGGCTAACACAAGTCTTATTCTTCAGGCTGTGTATTTTCATTGCAGGCAATCACTCCACTCTGCTCCTTTATGTACCAGGCTCCATCCTTGGTAGCTTATAGCCTTGAAGGTGAACAGCACCCACCCAATCTTTCTGACAGCCCCCACTACAGCTCTGGACCCTTATATTGCCTATTGACCCTGCAGGTCAGGTGACTCCCTTGTCAGCCGACTTGCCCATAGGGTCCTTCATTAACCTCTACTTTGCTGGTTGCTACAAAGGCCCTCTCCTTAAATGGGCCACACCACTTTCCAGTAACAAGGCAAGGGGCCCTGTTACAATAGACTTACCCCTTGTTATTTTCTATAATGGTGCCTAAATATGTACATATGAGAGCAAATGAAGGCGTTCTCCAAGAGTGTGTTATTTTGCAGCATATATTTACATACATTCATTTATTATGAAGTAGTTGTGTTATTCCTTGCTATAACTTTATAGCCAAGTAAAATATTGCATAAGACAGATATTAGTATTATAACAGTGTTAGAAAAAGAGACTTGGAGAAAAGTTAGCAATATGCTTAAAAAAGAATTTGATTTCTTATATTATCCATTAATAATGCATTATCTTCATAATCACCTAAATGATATTTTTACATGCAAGAGTATGCTGAAACCAAATAAAAAAGCTTGATACTCTGCGCACTGTTTAGTTCTTTTCGTTTTATGTATGTAAGAACCCAGAATGCTGCCAGAATACTAGAATGCCTATAGACATGCTGATTTGTGTTCTAATTAGAATGCGTCAGAACAGACTCCAGCAGATTAACTGAGTCTGCTCCACACTCTAATTAGAATGCTCCAGTGTCATCTCACCATCACATGTATTATTACCCCTCACATTTCAAAATGGCCACAGGGGTACTTTAACTAAACCTCATTGAGTAATCTTTCGTTAAAGCACCCCTGCGCTCCCACCCCAAGCCATTTGAAATGTGGGGGAGGTGGAGGGGTTTAATACAAGTGAAGGGGAGCCATTTTAATTAGAATGGCTGTCCAGGAACCACTCAAAATCCCACCCTCACAACCTCCAAGCACATAGGCAGCCCAAGAGTCTGAAGTGATGCAACTTTGCTGTCAATTTCAAGTGTCACGATTGGTTAGAATAGGTATTTTTCCCCTGCTGAAAATTCAGCAACATTTAAAAATAAATTTTATTTCCATAGCAGTTTCAGTGGAAAACTCTGAATGTTAATAAAACAATAACAAAGAAGGCCCCATAATTATAGGATCATAGGAAAGTAGAGCTGGTAGGGACCTCATGAGGTCATCTAGTATAGCCCTCTGCTTAAGACAGAATCATCCCTGACTAAACCTTTCCAGCCAGGCATCTGTCAAACCACAATGACTTTGACTATAGCAGAGACTGGAAAAGCAATAGCATACTTATGAATTAAATTAATTACAGAGAACAAAGTTTTCTTGAACCTAATATTCTAAACTTGATGGAACCATCAAAGCCAGTAGGAGCATGTGTGGTGAAAAATATTTTTCAAGTACACACTGACACAATTAATATCACTAGCCTTGGATGGGGGAAACAGGTCTATGGCCCTATTCTAACCATCTCAGAGTGATTTGCAAATTAGAACCATGGAATTAAAGAGACCAGGGAGTTGAACCTGGATCTCCCATACCCCAAGGCAGTACCCTATTCAGTACATGGAAACACCTCTCAGAACTGACAATAGGACATCTCAGTACAATTCTGTATTTGTGAAAGAGTTTTCAGAAATGGAATAATCATCTTCCAGTCTACTTGTGACGTTGGCAGGCCTCACGTCCGGTACCGCCCTTCGTCCGGTAGCCCCTCCCCCTCGTCCCACCTGCCACGACTTTGATGTTATAGGTGATTCGAAGGAGGGGTTCAGTGGAGATCTTCTACTAGAGGGGCTTACCCGATGTGGGGTACTCACGGTTGAGGTCCTCCGGTGTTCCACAGGGCTCCGCCACCCCTACACCCCGTCCACTCGCCAACCAGTCACTGGCTGATGAGATGGTTGTCTGCCGTTACCTACAGACCTTCTTGCTGGCAGGCCCTCCCGACTGTAGGGTCTGAGGCCAGTGGTCGTCTTCAGTCAGCCCGCCTTAGACTCTGACTGACCCAGCTGCTAGCTCCAGTTATTTCTCTTTCCTCTCCCCCTGATCTCAGAAATAATATTCCTCCGGGATGGGGAGGCTTCCCGGGTCTCTGCCCTGGTCCCGGTAACCCCTGGGGACCACTCCTTCTGCCCCTGCCGGAGTTTCTGGCTCTCGCCTCAGCTGCTGATTTGATGCCGAGTTGCCTGCCTGAGACTCTGGCTCCCGGGGAGGCCCACGCCCAACGCCCGGC